GCCAAATCCAAGAAGCAGGAGGGCAGCCAGGAGAAGCCTTCGGGAGCCAAAGCCAAAGGGATGGGGGCCAAGAAATTGAAAGGCCCCAACAATCCCAAGCTGGGGAGTAAAAAGGACGAAGGGGAGACAGTGAAAGGCCAAGAACAATCACAGGTCAGTCACAGATCTCTCCCAACTGCTGCCTCATCAGGATTCCTTCTCACTCTAAATTTAATTCTCCCTGTGCTTTCTCATCAGTGCGTCACCCTTCGTCTTGAATTCTAGAAAAATAATAAGAAAATATAGGAGTGTCTAATTGCATTTACTTTGAGAAAGAACTGTAACAAGTATCATTTTTCTGCATGCAGGACTCCAAGGTGAAAGAGGAGAATGATGAGCTGTCCACAGCCGTAAAACAGGAAGTATCTCTGAGAGATGAACCAATTGTAATAGAGGAGGAAGAGTTGCATCTTACCCTGAAGAAAGAGGAGTCCTTGGAAGTGGAGCAGCTATCTTCACTGTGCCAAAAAGAGCCAGACTGCAGAGCCCCACATGCTGGTCTACCGCTCCACACAGGGCCTGGTCCCCAGCCTGAATGGAGGCAAATCAGCGAGGCCCTCCAACCAAAACTCTCCTGTGAAAAGCAAATTGAAGGGCATTTCATTCCTAAAAACCTCTACCTGCCTCACCGTTGGGATCAGAACAAACCTGCTGGACATGTTGCTCTGCCTGAGACCTCCTCCAGGGTCAAAAACTCCATAGAAAGTCATGGCGGGAGAGTGGGGAAGGTGTTACCAATGTGTAAGCAGGCAGACAGAGAGTGTATAGACTTGAGCACAGATTCCTTCGCGGAGAAAGAAGACTATGGGTTAATTAAGAGGGAGTCTACCCAGAGCCCCGCACAGACGGCTGCCTACTGCAAAGCCAGCCAGGGGGTCATGTCTCCTTTAGCCAAAAAGAAACTCCTCTCCCAAGTGTGTGAGTCCAACCCTTTCTCCTTTACTTCTCCTTCTCTTCAGCCTCCACCTCCCACAGCTGCTTCCTCTCTCCCTGTCATATTAATGTCTGAGAGGGAGAAGGAGAAAACAAAGGGTGAGGAGGAGGTGGTAGGAAAGAGGCACGGGTGTATGTCAGACAGCATCCCGGAGGTAGCGCCCATATTCAGACCATCAGTCATCCAGCATGCCCAGAGCAGCAAGCCTCACCAACAAGCCACCAGTGGCCCATCAGAGAAGAGCGCCGCTGGGGAGCTTTCAGAGACTTACAGCTGTCGGACAAGCCATCACCTCCAGCCTCCAGTCAATCCGCCCTGGCAGCCCTATCTCCCCCGAACCCATACCCAGGATGGTGGAGACAGTGCTGGGGAGACGCTACTCCAAGGTCCAACTCCTCAACCCCGGAGCTACGCAAGTGACTGCTACTCCTCTCCTCACCTCCACAGTCTGTACAGGCAAACTGAGAACTGCCTGAGCCAGGAGAGGATTGCCGGCTTCCCCAACGGAGAGCGGAGAGAGCACTACACCAGGGACCGTGACGGCAGCCAGGCTTTTGTCTGTGGTGGCCTGGAGCAAGAGGGCTTGGCCTACAGATCTCACTACAGTGACAGGACTCAATCACATGGAGAAAGGAGAGAGGTAGAAGATGAGCCCAGAGATTTTACAATCTCTAAACCTCTCTCTCAGAGGGTGTCCTCCTTCTCCAAGCCCTCCTTCTGCAGTCTCCCATATCCCATCATGCACCAGGGTTTGGACTCCCACCCTAAGGCATGCCGAGTTCCTCCTATGAATATCTCTCCCCCCAAACAGAGCCCAGTAGAATCTTCGCAGCCATTTCCCAGCCCAAAAGCTTCAAGTGATTCGTCCCTCACCAGCCCCATTCGACCCAGTAAGCGGAGCCTAGTAGAACCTGAGAGTGAGGAAGTCCCAGAAAGGAAAGTCCGTGTGGTGACTCCAATCCACCCTGCCGGTGCAATTCGACGCAGCGACCCAGAAGAGCTAAAACCAGCTGAGCCGGCCCACGCTGTTCACCTCAACAACCATCTCCCTGAGGGCCACCCAACAACAACCTACCCCCCACATCACGCCGCACCCTTCTACCCTGGCATGTACGCGCCCGGCAGTCTGGTCTCACCAGGAGCCCAGGACGGGCTCCAGCAGCACCCGGGTCTGCAGTACCTGAAGAGCCAGTCAGCAGTATCTCCCCTTATGCCCCCATTAGCCTTCCACTCCATGATGCTCCACAGGCAGCTGCTGGCCTCCAGCCCTAGCCCGCACCACTTCTACAGGCACCCGGGTGGGGCAGCACTGTATGGGGACCTGCTGCACCATCTGTACCCTCTCTCAACCCTCCCACCACAGCTGTCCTCAGTACACCCCAGCACCAGACTGTGAGGGAGTATGGATGATTTATTTCTCCCTCTCCTTCTTCATCCTTAGAAACTTTTCAACTGATCTTTGTCTTTCTGTCTCTCTTGCTCGGGGATTGTGGCTCAGTCGAATAATAAACACTGATTATAAAACTTTGGCTGAATACAGACTGATAAACTCATCAGTCAGACAGAGTGAAAATTCCATTTTCTTTTTTTTAAATTTGTGTATGCATTTGTTTATATACTTTGCACTGTTCTTTATTTTTATCACCACTTACTGTATCTTTTATTGTCGTTGTTGTATCCTTATTTGCACAATGCTCATGTGTATGTGCTCACAAATCAGTTTGCCGCTCTCAGTCACCATGAGTCAGGTTGTTGCTCTGGATGTGTGAAATGTGAAGGGCAACAGAGAAAAGCCATTTGTTTACTGCGTCTGAGGGCTAAACTTTTTTGCTTAAAAACACTACAAGTAACATGACAACGAAAACGAAATTCTTTATAAACCTAGAGGTGTGTTCTCCATCGCAAACAATATTCAACAGCTGTTTAGTGCATTATTAGACTTCAGGCAGCCAGTGGTGTTGCATCTGTTTACATGTCTCCACGCTGAAAGCTGTTGCCTGTTTGTGCCACAGCAAATCCACCTGGACTTGGAATAGACATTAACTCTCACCGTGGTGCTGCATAACATGAAATAGTTTCCTCATAACATTCAGAGGTGCTGTGTATACCAGATGTACTGTAGGCTCACTTTTTACTCAGTTCAGGTTTTTATTCATTAAGTTGTATATCAGTTGAGATCATACAACACAAGCCGTTGTCATGTTCAATCTGTTGACAAATCATGAATGTTTTTTTGTTAGAGGAAATGAAAATCCGTTTTAATTTTTACTTTCAAAATTGAAAGTAATTTGACCCCCAAATCCCTTTGTGACGAGTAGACTGTAGCAGCTTGTTTTTGTCTGTAGGACTGGCATAATGAAGCAGCCGTCTGCTGTGGAATGCTCACCACAAGAAATCAGCATTTCATCTTTTCGTTCCTGACTTGAAAAGCTCTTTTTCTGGCGATCAGACTCTTTCATTCACCACGCTGAAAAGACTCACTGTATGATTTGATAGGAATGTTGTCACTTAGGATATTATTGCTTTGCAAATATCTGTGCCTTTCGCAGTCTTGGATTAGAGTTAGCACTACAGTTGTTAAGGTTTATCTTCTGTAGCAGGGTAGGAATATCCATATTACTGTTACTCTTGTCTGAAACGCAGCACACAGACACCCACACAAAAACGATATAGCACACTTGGCTATCAGACACCAGACTTGATAGGTAAGGCACAACATTTAAAGTTTTTTAAATTGAAACAGTTATGCTTTAACGCGATGGTTAGTATTTATGCTTAAATAAGTCTATTTACTTAGCTTAACCTGTGTCAGGCAGTCAATTATAGAAAAACCTGAAAAGATTTACTGATAGTTGATATTGACACAGGTCTGGTGTCTGTCATCCGCAGGGCATGTGTGCTCTATGTGTTTTCTAGCAGTGATGAAAAGGTACCAGACTCCATAAAGTATGCCTGCCAAGCTCCACAGCCTGAGGTGGAAGGACAACACCTGCTCTGGCTTTTACAACCACTATAATTGCAATCCAGGATAGTCGAAATACACAGTTAACATGTCTGGTGTTTCAAAAGAAGAAAAAAAACATGCTGTAAACGTATATGTGTAAAGTTTAACTGAATACTTAGATAAAGACATTCATATCTGATTAAGTACTGTACATTGCTGTGTGTAGGTTAAACTGGCATTAGTGCTGGCTCCTGTACAGAACATTCATATGGGATCAATTCATGACAACCCCTCTCTTGTCTTATTTTCTGTGTAAATAGCACTGTAGATAGTACCGCGTGGTTGTTATCATATAAACGGTTGTAATCTGTAAATAGTATAAAAACAGTATAAAAGCCGGTTACACAATCTAGCTGTGTCCTTGTGTGCTCTGTTTCAAGGTCACAGTGATCATGTTAGATTTAAACAAACACTACAATTTAAGAATTAGGATCATTTTTATTTGTTTGTTGGTTCACTTTTTTTTCTCTCCACATTGTAGCCATTAATGTGCATCCTGAAAGTGTTTTTGATACAGTAGCCATCTGTTTACCAATCACCCAGCTGGCGAGCAAGACAAAAAATAGACATTTTGTATGATATGACCTCCTGTATATTTAATTAAAATATTTTACTATCTATACACGTTTCCTCAGTTGTGTTATTTAACTGAACTGCAGATAAATATCAACGACTGAATAAACTGATATTTAATGCAAGTGTACTAATGTCAATGTAATGTTATTTTTTTCCTGAGTAAATGTAGTGTGAATGGGGTTTTATTATTGTAATACCATTATCTGGCTATGAGATTCCATCCGCCTTAATCTTCACAACAGGCTACTTCTGGGCTCAACGCCAGAAAAGCCCAGTATTTGCTGCAGTAGAGAAATGTTCCCGTGTATGTATCTCTATGGGATGTGTGTTGGGCTGCAATAAAAGCTATGCTTTGACTTTTATTGCCACCCCCTGGTAAAACTTTTACCATGAAAAATATTCAGTAATACTTCCAAGCTCAGCAAAAATAAAGCAGCCTCACAAGGGTAGAATGTAGGCCATTTTATTGCAGATCAGCAATAATAAAAAAAAAAAAAATACAGTTGGCTTCTAAGACAACTGTGAACAAAGAGTGAGGAGAAAATTGCACTTTGAGAAACAAAAATATCTAGTATTTTTTTACATTGCACTATACACAAATTATTCTGCACTAGGACTAAGATTAATGTATTCCTACTTAGTAGTACATAAACACAGCGCCACTTAAAGTCTAAATAATTCATATGCTAAAACTAACATTTAGAAGACATGGCAGTATTACACTATAAAAAGAAACAAAGAACTTTTAATCAGAAGCACAAAAAATTCAAATTATTGGTTTAGTTATTGCGGTGATATGTAATTAAATGAAAAAACAAATATAAAAAACATTAAATGAAAATACATTTGGCTCATTAGTTTGGCTCTGATCACAGTGAATGTTCAGTCCTTGTTTACTCATAAAGCAGTTATACATTAATCGGAAGATCAGACGCTCTCCCTCAAGCTTAATATCCACAGGAGCAAAATTTTCTGTACTGATTGCATTAAACTGCTTTCACCAGGGCTAAACAGTTAATCAGTCAGACACACTGCCATATATTTTAATGTGCTTTGTCTCCAGCATGCTTAGTCTAACTTAAACTGGCAAAGATGTTGATGGATACAGCATGTGTGATGATTTTAGCCACAATCACATAGCCTAAAGGTGTAACCATAGCAGCATTAGTAAAACTAACACAATTCCCTTGTTTGTCCAGGTATATACAGTTACAACATCAAAGTGACTAATGTATTGGCAATACACACAGAGCATAGAAAACATTGTGCACACTGCTAATATTGAGCAGCATCCCTTTTTATACAATCTATTCTCAGTTCTTTCAAGGCTTAAATTAAATCCTCCTGTAATCCGCCTTCCCTCAAATCTACATCTCCCCCTCTTGATTAAACAGAATTTAGTGGGTGAAATAAAAAAAAATGGAGGATTGTAGCTTTCACGATGTGGTTTCATCTGGCCAGGCAATTTCAGACAAAGTAGCTAAACCTAATGTTTTGTACACTATGTGTAATTATAAAGACCATTCTTTAACACGTGATCGGTAAGTGGTTGAAATATTTAGTGGCTGGCATTGGAAATGTTCAAAACACAAACACAAGGGCATTCATTATTTTAGTCACTCACAAGGCTCATTCTTTCAATTATGTTCATAGCATTTATGGGCTGCAGTGTTGAATTACATTGGACATACTGTGTAGCCACTGAAAACCAAGGTCACTCCATTATTAAGACCTCTGAGAAATGGATAAGTCACATTAGTGCCTGCAATTGCTCCTAAAACCCTGTTCCCCTAAAATCAGCTATAGTGGTCATAAAGTTGTCACAGTAAGTGGAATAAGTCAATAGTTCCAAAAGGAATGACTCGTCCACAGTCGGCCAATGGATCAATTCCAATTTGAGTGCTTTTGCAAAAGGCTCTTTCTTCGGCCCATGTTCCAGTGGCAGAGCTGAGAAATAAGCCTTTCCATTTTAGTGGGATTGATTATGGCAGTGCTCAAGCCAACATACAGCTTTCAATTCCATCTATGGGTTAGGTGTACAAAAAAAGTTTATAAATGGAGAGTGGAGCTGCAAATGTATCAATACAGTATTGATAGTGATATGGAGGTGTCAACTAGGATTTGGGTTGCCATGATGGACATTGTGAGGATCTTTTCTTAAGAGACCATGTCACCCATCCTTTGGGTTAAAAAACAGTTAGACATTTTGGGAAATGCGATGAAAAGATCAATAGATACCACTCTCTTATCTATCAGCTCAATATGAAGATGGAGCTGGGAGATGGTTAGTTTGGCTTAGCATCAAGACTAAAAGCAGGGGGAAACAGTTAGCCACTGGAAGAATCTAACCCTCAAACCCACTCTAGTAAGTCGCTGCTCCCAATCAAGAAATATTCTTGCACAAAACCCCTCTTTTACCGCAATCATTTTTACACTTTTTGGATGGGAAAAAAAGAGCTTTAGAGATGCTCGTAGGCAGATTTTGCTACCTTTGGACTAAATCTCACATTATCGCTTTTTAGATACAGTCAAATATTGTGATATCTGATTTTATCAACGTTAGCTTAGTTGGGATATTTATTTGTATTAGTAAGGTAGAGTTAGTTGGTTAAATATAGATATGGTCGAAAGTCAAGTTCACAAGGCTTTAAAGGTTCATCCTCTCTCTGAAAGACTTCCTTAGTTTGCTCCTCGGTGCAGGAACAGGACCAGAATCGTGACCTGATCTGAGGAAGCCATGATCACCTGCGGCATTATTGTTCTGGGTGTGGTGGCCCTGGTGCTCATGCTGCTGGAGAGGGGGCTGAGGCTGACTTTGTGGTTGTACATCGAGGACGCCCAGTGGAGCGTTTTTTCGGCTGTGGGCTCCTCCAGCATTGTTCCGCTGGAGCTGCTGGATGATGGCAGAGAATTTGGCATCCAGAGATGGTCTGCCAGTTTTGGGCCTTGTGGCCGGGCGTGAAGTGCCGGAATTCTCCTTCTCCTGGTATCGGGGAGGAGGAGGGTGATGAAGAGAAGCAGGGAGGGGAGGTCTGGCAGGACGGGAGGAAGGAGCATAAGGCTCTCTGTCAGAGGGAGGGGGTGGGGCTCGGCGCTTCTTGTTGCCAGTGGATGTAGAACTGGTGTTGAGGTTGGGGACTGGGCTTGAACAAGGGGTGGAGGTTTTGCTTTGGGAGAGAATACTTTTCTGCACAATGATTGAATGGGACCCATCAAATAGAGTGGACCAATTAGCCGCTTCCTTCCCCTCTTCATGACCAATAAGAAAGCGGCCATCTGTTTCCTCTATTTTGTCGTGGATAATGTCTGTGATGCTCTCAAACTTGCCAGGTGAATTTATACCTGCACATCAAATAAAATGAACACACATTAAAATAAAGTGAAAGCAATTAGGTAAATGTTAAGTTTTTCCTATGTTTGATGTATTATTGAAATGCAGATAACTATAATAACATTTCACAAAGAACAAATAAGCACAGATTCCAATATTATTTACATGAGTCACCACTGAAAATAAAACTATTATACATGGTGAATAGAATACATTTATTTCACTGTGGTGTCCCATTTGTTTTGAGCACTTGCACCGTATCTTCTATAAATAGATACATACCTTCTATAAATAGATCCATACACATCCTGTAAAATAGTGCACATCAAATAGCCAGAAAATTATCTAGCTCCATCTAACTCACTTCAGCCACTCGTTCCAATTACTCTACTCACTGAGGTCATTGTAAACAGAGTCAGCCTGCTTGGTGAGGAAGAGTGATGGTTTTCGTGGTGACGCAACCTCGATCTTCATTAGCTGGTTGCAGCAGTGCAGCCACTGGCCTGGTTGTAAACAAGGAGGCATGAGAGACACAGATAAAAGGTTATGCTATCTGTTCTTTCAAAGTTGAGTGTGTGTAGCCATTTTTCTTGCCCAAACAAACAGATGTACACTCCCCACCTTCTGTATATACTGTCAAATACATACAAATAGATTCAGAAACATACAAACATGTTGCTGCTCTGTACGCACATGTACTGTATGTAACCATAGTTTATATATATACACACACACACACACACACACATATATACACACACTTCTTCTGTATATTTACACAGAAACACACTCACTCTGATCATAGAGGTGCTGGTGGAGGGCGTCGAGCCAGTCCTCCAGCTCCTCCCTGGTTTCTGTGGTGAAGACAATGGTCTGAGATCCCTCTGGCGAAGGACTGATGATGGACAGACTCCTGGACTTCTGGCCTAGTGACTCCTTCTCCATCACACGGATCCGTGTGTCCTGCAGAAACAGCATAAATAGCTTAAATAGGCTGAAATTCAGTTCCAGGGTAAACAAATGTGAGATATTGCACTAAAAAGTACATAGCTGATATTGTAGAAAAAATTAATTCAGCAGCAAAATGCCAACGATGCCAACAGGATCTCAGTGAATAATGCGGCATTTTGTATTTTGGTTATTCTACAAATGTTAGAGAAAACTGAACTGAGATTTAAATCAATAATAATGAATGTAATGTTTATATTTAATTCAAATTTTCTCTAACCAGACAGCACAACTAAAACAGAGATAATAACAGTGATAGTAAAACAGTAACAACAATTGGTAATTCTGGTGTAATTCTGGTTTATTTTTCTGCTTTTACATTTAATATATATATATATGGCAACAGAAACATAAATAGTAAATATTTCCAGTACTGCACATTTTATTATGCTGCCGCTGTAGTTCCCGGAAATTTATAATCGCCAAGCTCAACAGAACAACTGAACATGAAATACTAATGAGAGTGAGGAATATGAAGGTTTGGATACTGTTTTACCTTGTTGATGGGTATGTTGAGAGTGGGCTGCACTTTAGCATCGATTTCTTCCGGGGTGAAGTAACAGGACAAAAAGCCAGCACTAAGCACACAGTAAAGACTGCAGCAACGGTACATTCCCTCCACACTTTGCTGAAAATTAGCACAATGACAATAACAGATAACGAAAGGAATGAACAAATGGAACTGAAGCATTTAACCCTGCAAATAGCAGTCAACGCACCTTCTGGCTCAGGTGGCCGGTCATCATGCTCTGTATCATGCAGACAGGCTGGGCCACCAACCGGCAGCAGAGGTTGCCATAAAGTGGAAGCCAAGATGACAACTCAGCTGTTGGGATGAAAAGCAGCAGTAGCAATTAAACACAAACTACAGAAAACTACTTATGTTCATCTTAATGAAACTACTAGATGCCTTGTGTAAAGATAAAAAGGTATTCATTAATCTTGAGTTAATCCTATCTTGAGTGAAAAGGTAAAACCACATAATTAAACAACTTTGTCAATTAGGTGTACTGTTACACGTCATCATACACACATGCAAGAGCAGATGTATGTTCCTGTCACATAGCTTCTTGTCATAGGAGCGTTTCACAATAACTTAAAATAATTGTAACTTAATATGCACTGAGGGCCAGAACACTAACGTACCATGGTGCAATTTCATACCAAAGCTGCATAAGAAAAACCTGCCTGAGCACCCACTTCCTTATCCATTTAATCAATCACGCAAAGGAAGAAAAGTAATCCAAGCAGAACTTCAATCATAGGTTATTTTGTTTAATTCTGTCGTTTTTGTCAAAATATTTTACCATTACCACAGTATTGAATCATATCAGGAGCTATAAGAATAATCCCACTATATCCCCAGATATGACATTTCTGTGCCTTTACTTCTTACCGCCTTGGAGGACAATGAGGGAGTGAGACTGAAAGCTGCCTTCAGCCTCAGGTAGACACAGTGTAGTGTAGGCCAACAGGCTGTACTTGGCTCCACTGGAACAGGTAGATGCACACACAAACACATGCACAGAGTTTAGCATTCTTTCAAGTATAATGCGTAGGCTTATTTTAACATAGTGGCTTCTCCATGAAAGATTCATGCTCAACATGAAGTGTAGTGTACACAGTAAAGGACACAGTGTAGTGTAGGCCAGCAGGCTGTACTTGGTTCCACTGGTACAGGTAGATGCATACACAGAGTTTAGCATTCTCTAACACAAATAATAAATAATGGAGATATATTAATATGCAAGTACTCTAACCCCAAAATGTGCACATAACCTACAGTATTTTGTTTTTTGTAAATTATGTCCTTGTTCAAAGGTCTAATGATCCCAATGTTTCTCCTTCCCACTGAACAGGTGGCATCTATCACTTGAGATGTTCAGTTGATAGTTTCATTTGATGCTCTGTGCCAATAAACACGCTTTTGATCTCAGACACAACTAAAATACAGGCAGGAACATTAAAAGTGTGCTTATTGGCACAAAACAAATCTATGAATGCCCAAAGGCTAAACATTTCAGTAATCATAACCCCAAATATTGGTTACATTTTTATTTCAATACTCACTCAGCGGGATTTGTTTACAAACCCATTGTGTGAGCCTGCAGCTACACCCTTCGTTGCAGTAACAAACCATAATCAAGTTAGTTTCTAATAGAGAGCCAAGAGTCTGCAAAGTGTTTTATAGGATAACAAAATACATACAGCGGTATGGGATTATACTGCAGGAAGGTGTCAGGGTCTGGATTGTCCAGCAGAGGGCAGAGCTTCTTCCCAGCTGTCTTTCCAAAAGAGTTGCGGAGCTTCTTGGCGAGCTTCTTTGGTGTGTTTACCAATGTGAGCTCTTCTTCCAGGGCACAGCTCCACAACTCCACCTTCAGCTCAAACTGAGGATCTGCTTCTTTACTATAAGGGGGAAAAATTCAATTAAATGCATATAAATCATGTTAGATCAAAATTAAAAACTAAACAAAACAATAACGATACATAAATGAAACGTTTTATTGAAATACAATTGTGACAATAACGGTACAATAATAATAGATATGTCAGTGTAGAAGAAAATTCAAATACATAATCTGCTTATCATATTACGAAAAAGAAGAGTACATTTTCAGCAATATATCTTTTAACATAGCTCCATAATCATTCATTTTATTTCACCACTATACAGCCGCAATAAATACTTACAAGATAGTGACTGCCTCAAAGCAGATGTCAGTGACTGATCTGTCCACCACCACCATCTGTGTGTCAAACACCTCTGAGCCCATCTGCATCAGACAGAACACCGCCACTCGACGAGAGCCTTATAAACACAAGGGATGAACAGTGTGTGTTAGTGCAGTGAGTATCCACAAAATAACAGGAGGAAAGCTAAACAGAAGGCATATATGTTGGCAAAACAAGGACTAACTTACTCCCTCTGTTGTTGAAGTGGTCTGAATCCCTCCATATCAAAGGAATACGCAGATCTACATCAGCAGAGGAAAAGTGTTAATTAGCAACAATTCTTAAGAGTTCATTTCTAAAATGCTCCATATGCATTTTGTGAAAAATAACCTTAAAAACTACTTAATTGTACATGGTACGAATTGCACTGACACTTTCCAACACTGATCGATTCTGGATAAAGGGGGAGCAATCTTACCAGACATTGCAATTGTCCCATTACAGGGAACACGGTCATCTGACACCGGATCTGAAAGTCTGAAATACAATTTATAACTGAACATTACAATTTATCACAATCTGTGTATCAGCTTCACTGCAATAAAACAGCAATTCAACACCCTCAAAACCCATACAGTCCTGTCTCAAGTCATCACTTTTTTTCACTTTTCCCCTACACTTAATTTCTTCATTGAAGTAGAGCTTTATAATATATATTTCAATTTGATATATTTATTGATAATGTGCGCTGAAACTGAAGGCCAAGGAATGTAACTTAAAAACCATTCCAAGATATCTGCCACACAGAAAGCTCCCAATTCCTTACCTCCTGACTGCTCCCATCATGTCCTGTTCCCATTTCATCTTCTGCAGCTGTGTGAGATAAGCCTTGATCCTGGCGTTGCAGGTCAGCAGGTTCTTGGAGGCGTTAAGGACCTGTTCTCTCTTACTGCAGGCGAGTAGCAGCTTGTAGGCACCCTCCCGCATTCGCATCTCAAAATCAAGCTTTTCTTGTATGTTAGTGTTCTTCTTGGACAGAATACACAGAAAGGAGAAAGTTCAAATGACCAAACTTATCCATAAAAACACAGAGTTGCAATAAGATGCGTTACACTGTTTTGTGTTAGTCCGTCAAACAATATGCTATAATGAGACCAGAGACATGATGAGTGCAAACATGTTGCCCTTGAATGTTGTTGAGTGTTGTTTAGCTAGATTAAAGGGGCTAATATCTGGCGTTTTGACATAATGGGCATCAGCTGATACCTGTGCTGACAAGGCCGATAAACAAAAAATGTCTGTGGACACATCTGCAGGCAGCCTTGTCAGAATGATGTCAGCGCTCACCCTTGAGAGTTTTGGGAAGGTGGTTCTCCAATCTTAAATTAAAGCAATTCTAATCTAACACCATTACTGGCTAGCTTTGAATACATATTGTTATACTGAAGAGAATAATGCAGTTGAATGACGTCACTTCTGATAAACTGTACCCCACTCTCCCTTAAACACCAGTCATGTTCTGAAATCTACAGCACAACCCAATGCATTTTTATATTTCATTAATTAATAAAAGTTCCATCTTAAACAACACATTACTGGCTATGATAACCATGGATATTAGATTGTACTCTGCATGGAATAATAGAATTATACATGATTTCTTTGTTTTGATATCATTACATTTCAGCATCAGCCATTGGAAAACTCGGTCTACCACAAGTTGTTTTTGGGAAGAACAAAAATCCCTTCCAGTGTCAAGGGTGTCTCAGCACTTTGGGGATGTCAAGTAAACAAGTAATGCACATAAATGTCATATTCACAAACAAGAACACTTTTAAGACAACTTACAACCTCTTCCAGCTGTTACACTTAACCTTGAGTGCCTCCGAATTGGAGTTGGTTTTTGGGACAGACTAAATATTTGATTTGCAGCACTAAACAAAAAAGGCACAATTTTTCTGTCACAAACACAGCTCAAGCTTTCAGAGTTCCTTGAGAATGACAGACAAAACACAAATGAATATTACAAGGCTGTAAGGAAATGTGATCTTCTAGTGTAGCTACCACCACGATTAAATTTACAATAATACACTGATGTCTAAACCTGTCAGACTTGTGGCAGTGAAACCAACTTCTTTTCATCACTCAAGAGCAAGTTATGTTGGTGTTCAAGGTGAAATGATGTGAAATAATGACCAACACACTGTATTATGCTAGATGGACAAAATCAGTGAGTGCATAACTTTATGTAGATTATATGCAATGTAGATGTTGAAGACACAGTATGGATGGCATACTGCAAAGACAGTGAACAGAGGCAGGAAAAATATGGCAGTTCTAACTCCTCTAATAGAGGATGATGATGTCTGATATAATCTGGTCTGAAACATATTGTACTAAATTCAAAACACTAACGTTACCTTTTCGATTTGGTATGGGAATTTGGTTTTGGTGGGTTCGAACTAGAACTTGGCATGTTAAGTTTAGGAAGTGCATGCACAATATTTTTAGGGATACAAACATCATCATACTCCATGTTAGTAAAAAACTAAAATATGCACCTGTAGCTTCTTAGAAATCTGTCGTATGTACAACAAATTCATGTCTTCTACTATCTGCAGAGTGTCATTCAGAAGATTTGGGCATCGTTTCATGCTTTTGGTCTGAAATGAAATTAGTTTGAGCGTTGTTAAAGCAAGAGTAAACATTTTTGCACAGGCTGCTTAGCACGATTCAGCATGCAGACTGCATGGCTCTGGTTTCAGGGAACTATAATAAAGGGGGAAACTCCCGTATCAAATAACATTAACTGGCCCAACTCGCTAGCTTCGTCCCAGGGAACTAAAAGCCAGTGTGTGAATGAAACAGACGTTAGAAAATTCAAGTTATTTAAGCAGAGCCTAACCGAATAAGTAAGTTATTGAAGCTGTGAACGTTAAACTAAGAAGAACTGAATATTAGCAGTTAACGTTAGTTTCGTTGCACTTTGGACCCATTCCAGCGTCAACTGAACTGTCATTATGGTTCGGGGTTAACGACAAAACACTGTCAAATACCTCTCTGTAAATCTTAACGTTACCTCCGTTTGCAGAAATAAGGCACTCTGTCGTATTTTCTTCCGTTTAATCTCCATTGCCACCGAGGAGCCGGCCGATAATAACGACCTGGAGCTCCCGTTTCGCTTAGAAGTTTGAACATCCCGCGGGTCGTCCATGTTGTTCATCCATTCGCTAGCCACAGCAGGAAAGTCCTGTAAAATCGTTCAACGGACAGGGCGGTTCGATTTGTGTCACGTCGTCTGCCGCAATGGCGACATTGTCGAGAAAATACAAAAGAAATCCAATTCAAAAGATCGGTACAGCTTTCATACAAATTACTAAACACTTTAGGAAAATTAAAACATCTAATACAAATCAGCTTACATGGTTGCCGTGATATTTAAAATACTTAATCTTAAAAAGGACTCAACCAACAGGCTTTCAAAAAGTGAATGCCGAATTATAAGCCAACCGTGGTGAAGTAGTATACAATAGCTAAAATCACAAAATGTTAAATGTAAAATTTCACGAGGTCAAGTATACAGTTTGAAAATAAGCATCAAACAAAAGCTCCGCCTTGACAGCGGTACATCCAACGATTTAAACCGAGCACTTCACGCCGACAGGGCAGGAGCGTCATTGCGTCATTGTGCCAGACAAATGACAGGAGTGCATTGTTTTGGATTTGAATTTTAGGCTTTTATTTTGGTGGACATTTAAAATACTTACACACTTAACAATAAATCGTTGGCAGCATATAAGACGTTTCACTTTTGTGGCATGGTACGGATTTCTCTGAGTAGGCTCATTTAGCTCAATCATCCCTAGATGCAAACAAAACTTTTTATTCACCTTGTTTTATAGCAATGGTTCTCAAAGTGAGGCCCTTAAGGGTATTGCAGGGGGTCCCCAGCAAAAAGGGAATCATTTATTTTCATCCATAAATACTATGGCAGAATGTATGAGTATTTTGGTCATGGGTTTCATACACTTTCTGTAATAAAATATCTAAAATCAAAATCTAATTAGATGTGGGACCCTGGGACAAAATCTTGGGGGTCCGTGGTCTAATTTGTGTCAGTTTAGCGGTTCTTGGCGTGAAAACCACTGTTTTAGACTGTTTATGTTCCAAATGCTCTAATGTTAATTATCTTTTCAGATGTGAGTAGCTTTAATACACTTTTATTTACTACGACAGTATGTTTTTATTAAGCAACAGCTCCAAAATGGAATTTAATTTTAATAAGTAATGCTCGTATGATCCAGCAAAACGAGCATAATGATAGTGCTTTATGCTCTTGTATTTGAACATCCTCATTTAATTTGGTCGTTTCTTTAATTGTTTGGTTCCCGGGAGCCCTAGTCCATTTGAGATGCGCATCATGCAGCATTGCCCTCAATTTCAGCATCAAATATATTATTGCCCGCTGCGCAGCCCAGCTGATGTTACGGTAACAAGAGAACCTGCAACGTGACCAGTGAGTCCAGGAAACCCGCCCACCCTGTTCTGGCTGACATGGGCTTTTGGTCGAGTTGGAAGCATCCATGGCTGGAAATGTAGACGCAGGCGCTGCTGAGGATGAACTGTGTCAAGCTAGACAGAGAAATAAAACACCGGAAATTACGACATCTGCCTTCAAAATTAAAACAGAGTTTTGAAAATGAGACGAGACTATGGACCGTTAAAAAGGAGACGCATGTCTAATCCTCCGATCCAGTCTGTGCAAAGTGATGTCAGCTTTGCCATCTGTAATCTACGTTTTCTTTGCACCTCCCCTGCCTTAAGATGTATATTTCTGTAGGTTATTAATCCTGTGCAATTCATCATGAATTAAGAAGTTCCATTGCAACTCCAGCTTCTTTATTGTAGTCCAATCAGCATGATCATGTTAGCTGACAACCACATTAATACATACATTTTCTGTATACTCATTCATATTTTATTGTGACAAAACATTTTGGGTAAAAAGCCAGACAGTCTTACAGGGTAACAATAGTTTTTTGCATTATGTGTTTTTAGGTTAAAAAATAAATGTATTTATTTCAAATCATGTTCCTTAGTTTGACAGATTTTCATGGAAACATAAATGTTTGTTTGACAATTACTCATGGCACACAAACATTCATGGTCCACATAACAAAGCTTCTAATGTGTCTATAAGAATTAAGATCTACATCTTTATTATGATGAAATTTTGAAGTAAAGTGTGTTAATAATGTAATATCTTGTGATTTTCATCTTCATTATCACTGACTATTGCTCTCAGCTAAGCCCTGCATATTTATGTGTTATATACTTAAGTTGATTATTATCAACTGTCTCCTATGAGCCTATACAAGAAAGAAACTAAAATACATCATAAATAAGTAATAATTAAGTTTAATAAATAAAAACATAAAAGCCCCACCTGATACATGAAAGTTCATGTTGTTTTATTCTGACTTTTGTATCACTATTTTTTCCAGGTGCTTTTCTCTCCCCACATATTTAAGAAAGTTGAACTACATTCTCTTTAAATCTGTCATCACATGATTAATTGATGACAGATCTATGTGTTGTGTTCATTCCAGTTCATGAACACAACACATAGAAATAAAATAATACAATAAAAAAGAAAAGGAAAAAGAAAAATTAATTAATAAATAATTGGCAAACTTCCTTATAATAGGGGGTGATAGATGGTATTACTTAGGTAAATAGAGTATATTACTTATTGAAATGCTTTTCTTATTTGTTACAAGTTTAAGAGACTTAAAGTACATATCAGTTTCGATTAAGATTCCCTTAAAACATGGGGTTGACTTAGATAATTTAGCTTTGTGAATATGAAACTTCCATAATAAAATAAAGAGATTAACAATAAAACATAAGTTCTTATCTTTATATTCGAAGTAGGTAATGACATTTTCCCCTTCAACAGTGATTGCACGTGTTTTAGATCGTATGTAACTCTCAGAATGTGATACAGAATGAACAAACAGAAAATATGAGTTAAAATTTCTTGTTCTGTTTTACAAAAGGTGCAATTGTTATCAACAAGCATGAATTTCGAGATAAACATGATTGTTGGATATATTTTTTTGCAAAGATTTCAAGTGTAATTCTCCAACTTTGTTTGTAATACAAAATCTAATAGGAACAAGCCAATCTCATTAATCAGAATGTAGAGAATTCTAATGCTACAGGGTGTTATTTTCTTTAAATTTAGAAAGCATTTTCTAATGTGTTTGTTGGTGCATTTGCTGCTAATATCAATATTGACATCTCTCGCCATCATGTTCGCGCTGCTTTTATTCTGAAAGTTGTGACAGGAAGTCGTGAACTATATCCGTTCACCGCGTTGACGCTTCTCTGAGTGCGTCTGTCCGCCCGCCGCTAGTTTGCTGGGAGCGACGTTATTGCTGAGCAACGGAGGGAGAGAAGGCCGACGCGCACAGCCAGACTGAACTGCAGCAACGGCAGGGCTGGGCTCTACACACACACACACACACACACCAGAAAGGAAAAGGGTAAGTGAGCAGTAGATTTCACTTTTATTTAGCTAACAGATTAAACGGCGCACCCTAACACTTTTAGCTAGGCGGTTGACCGGACTCACGTGAAGTTTGCGGCAGAAAAAAATGTAAAGAGTCGCCTTTCTGCTTCTCTGCTGTCATCTACTGATGTGAAATGTGTTTTTTTCAATGTTGGTACAACGGCGGATTTAGGAGCTTCTCGCTTTTCAAGCAATAAAACCTGGATTGAAATTCATGTATAAAATTTAGCAAACAGGCTCAGTAAATACGCTGTTATGCGTGTAACGGCTAAGCAAACTGGTCTGACTCCCTGTTGGCTAACTGGATGGCTACTGTTGTCGGCAGCAGCAGCATGACCAGCCTGCTCTGAGCTGAGCCGCCTTTGTAAAGCGACACACACTCGTCACTTTGCTGCCTCTGTGAAAACACCGGCCACATTTGCCCTGTGTGCTACTATTATATGTTTTTGGTCCGTTTTTTCTATTAGTTGCATCCTTCTGTGACCGCACGGAGGCTATCGAGACAGGATGCACATCAATGAAGGTCGGTCACAATGGGCGCTTTGTGTTCATCTCATTGGAAACGTGTTACCCTCGGGGTCCTATTTGAGTCTATCTTTATTGTCTGAAGGGTAGATGATATAGAGTAGGTATTTCACTATGTAATGTCGCTGCAGAGTGTTTCCCGATGTCGGACCCCCTCCTCTTCTTCTGTGTGGAGGCTTTGTTTTCGTGGGGCAGATGTAGCTGGCCTACATGCATCCGCTCTCTTTGTGTTGAGTTTGATATTTGCTGTCATCATCACATAAGATGTAAAACTCTGGGGAATGGCTAAGGATGTGCTATGTCTTTAATGCTGATATTTCTCACCATGCACTAACACAGATCTATAAGATGCCTTATTTGCATGCCTCTGACAAACAAATCATATTGTGTAGTTATTGTCTAATTATCAGGTAACAGACTGATTTGAATGCATTATGAATTTAGTCCAGTTGCTAGATGCAGATGTGTGGCAAATAGTTACACAACTGTTCAAAATATTTGAAAGAGAGACTTCTATTCAGCAGCAGCAGCCTAATTGTTTTTATTAATGTTAATCATTTCCCTTAATTGCATCTAATGGCTTAATGGTACCAGTGAAGATTGCTTGCATTCCAGGTTGGAATTTATAACAAAGTTGGTTGTTCACATGCTGGACTGGTGTGTTCTTAGAAAGCTGGAGAGCTATAGGCTGCACATCAGCGAGTGTTGTTAGTCTCCTCCTCCTCCTTCATCTGTAATAATTCAAATGTTTTGGGCTTGAGCCATAGAATGTGTGTGCAGATAATACCATCCAGTCCTTTCCTTTCTCTCATACACTCTGCCTTTTTTTCCACCTCCTTCCTGTCCTCTCCGCAAACGTGGCTGCCGGCACTGCAGGCCGGTTGGCTCTACAGGCGGTTGCATTTTTAAAAACTGTGTCAGTGTCACAGGACGGTTGCTGCACTTTTCGGAGAGGGAGCAGCAGCAGCAATGTCCTCGCTAGACTGCCGTCCCTTTACACATTTACAGTGTAGATGATAACACAGGCAACCTTGTGAATAAATAGAAACAGTGCCGTCTTTTTTATTTGTAGAAGTTTTCTTGTGTAGTCCTGTTTTCTTCTAAAGAAAAAGTGGAAACCTCAGCAACATTTTTCAGTGCTAAGTGGTCAATTTGACTATTAACATTGAACAGACAAAATAAAGTGAAGTCATGCCTTTTCATCCTCTGCAATCTCATCCATCCTGATTTACTTTGAATTTGTCTCTGGTTCAGTATCACAACTCTTGTGATGACCTGGTGGCCAATGAGCAACGTTTACACCATGTATACCAATGGTTTCCTTCAATAATATGAGTCTATTTTCTGTTCTAGTAGGACTTTGTTGTCCGGCCTGCCCACGGCCATTGTGTATAGTAGGAAGTTTAGGAAGTGAGTTCATTTTACTTCAGTGGTCAGGGAGCATTATTTGTGATTGAAAACAACCTAGCCTGAAACCCTTATATTCTTATCTTTTCCATTCTGTCTAAGATGTTTTTAAAAGTGTTTTTGTACCAGGGTGTCTGTGGCTAAAAATACCTGTGAATCGCACTTGTGTAATCTGCCGGCATAGAACCATTGAAGGGGTTCTGAGAGTCAGATAGCTTTGCCTGGTGAATCTCCAGCTTGTGTGCGGAGTCAGACAGAAACAGTGAATAGAAAAGTTTTTGGTAAGAAATTGGGAGAGACAGCAGAACAGAGCAGAAAACAAGAAAGAAAGCTTGAAGCAATTTATATACATAATCACCAGCCTCTCCCTTGTTATGGAACATCAAGGGCGTGTCTGGTTTTATTTGGCTTTCACCTTCTCAAAATGAAAAATTAAACAGTGACCTTCACATCTGTTTTGGGGTGTAACGTACTCCCCTCTGAGTTTCCGGTATTCAGTGTTTCTCTCCACTGTAGATATTGATCTTGTATTTGGGTCGTTTCCATTCCCATCTCGCCCTCTGCCAGGCTCTCTCTGATTGTCCTGTTATGCTAACACTGATCGTTTTTTCCCCCTCCTAAGTGCCAGTGTGGATTTCAGTGTGAGAGAGTTCACTATTTTTGTCCACTACTGAGGCAATTGCTGTGGGCAGCATAAATGTTGGTGCCCATAATCAACGTGGCAGAGTTGGCCAAATACTAATGTTCCTGTTAAAGAGCCACAGGTCAGTCATTATCTGCTCAGCAGGGGTAACGCAGGGCCATACGAGCACTCCCCAGAGCAAACCTATACTTGACACAGTGTGTGCTTTGGCTTCTGTAGGTACATAGTAGAGTGATTTATTCATGACATATCTTATTCAAGAATATTGCAGATGGTAAATGTATTAAACTAGTTCAAATACCTTTTTATTTGCAGGAATAGAGTTTCCCCTCCATTAGACTGACAAAAATGTATGATATGCTGAGTCTTGTGATAACATATTACGATTTATTCCCCCTTTTTTGACTGCAAATTATGTCCCCAAAGGACAACTTTGTTAACATCTGTTTTATCTAATAAGATACAATATTCTCTCTGTTCATGCCCAACTTCCCACCAATCCCTCTGACTGTGACCTGTGCTGACCTCACCAGAGAAATACCCATCTAGTAGACTGAAAAAGCAACAGATTTTATTATTCTAGTACCAAAAAGTAATTTTGTCCCTGATTGCAATATTAATGATTTATATAATAAAAGATAGATGCTTGGCGTTTGTGTGTCAATATAATATTGCCACACAAGATATTACAATACTGTGCTGTATCGACGCCCCACCCACATAAATTCAGATAATATCATATCAAGTATAAGTGAAGAGAAGAGTTTTATAAGAGAACTTATAACTTAATGTTTCTAAAAGTGAACTGTGTTTGTATAAAGTGTTTTCTTAATTATAACTCACTGGATAGATATAACCTTATTGTTCAACACAAGCTAGAAACAGAGCATGTTTTGTGTTTTTGCTTAAAAATGACTTAAACGATGAATTGATTATGAAAATAGTTGTCGACTAATGCATTAATACACTAATTGTTTCAGCTCTGGTCTAATACAATATTTATTGCTCTAATAGTTAACTAAAGTTTGCACATACGTTTATTATAGATATTCTTCTGCTTCCATTCCCCATTGAGAAAGTGGCCTCCAGAAATAAGTGCATTTTCTGAGGAACGTACTGCACACATGCTTCAGAGAATGATTCACATGCACTGAAAAAGACTATGCTGCAGGGCATGTGCTTCATTAATTCTCTTTTTAATCTATTTAATCTATTTTTTATCATATCTTTATCAGCATGAGCGCTTGTTCAGAGTGCTGGTTTCCTTCTTTCTCTCTTTCTCAGATAGTGCTTAAAGGCAATCTATGTTTTTTACTAAAACGCTGTTCAGTTCTCAATACCCGTGAAGAGTAAATTTCCATATGTAGGGCTGTAGGTCATGTGGAGCTCAGGGGTCGCGGAGCATGTGGTGGGTTTATGTCTTAAGGCCTGGGGTGTGCTGGGGTGTGCTGGGTTGTGTAGAGTTAATAACAATGAAGCCGGCTGGACGGATGCTGGCTAAATAGAGGTGTTTGCTTGTTTGTTCCTATCACCAACTGCTCATGTGATGTGCGTGGCCGCTTTTCTGCACCATATGGTCTTTTCTGCTGCATGGGACAATTTTTTTCATCCACATGCTGCATGTACATGCCACATTAACACACATTTAAACCCATACATACACATGCCCACTCTGCATCTTTCTGCAGATCTGAAGGGCTATGCTGACACCATAATGATTTATTATCTCCCTACATGCGTTGATCCGATGATGTCGTAAGAAATTAATGTTGGTGTATATTCAAAATGCATCGTTCGATAGCATAGATTACTTTTTCTTTGATACATTTTTTATTCAGAATTTGGTACATTTGATATTTATTCAATTGCACGATCCAGATTTACAAAAAGCACAGTGGGGAAAGCATGACCCGCTTTTGCCAAATGTTGAGCTGTCTCTCTTTCTCATCGTCATTGAACAGGAGAAAAAATGGCAAATGATGCAGTTGATCACTTTGTATGCATGTATGTTAGTTTGTGTTTTATGTGTATCAAAATGTTCTTCCATCCTCATTTGGCTCCACCTAATTCAAGCAGTGTTTGGAAGCTGGAGGAGCATCTTTGGCTGTGATATACACTGTAAAAACTACATTCAGCCTCAGGTCGCCTAATGAGCCCTTACGATAACTTATCAGGGATTTCAGCCTCCATTTGGAGTTTTTATGTTGAAAAAAAGGCAACTTGACAAGGAAAATGTTGAGACAAGTTTCTTTCTAAGACTAAGTCAGAAGAGGTCCCCCATACAGAAAATGGCTAGTGAATGTTTTGCCTTTTGCCGGCTATAAGGAGAGGTAGAATAGGGCAACTTGATTTAATTGTCAAATGGAATCAAACATGTAGAAACTGATTTCCCTGGAGCA